GCTTGGGACCAGAACATTATGTGCATTTAAAGAGGGTGTGCATTTATAGAGGATGCATTTAGAGAGGTCTGACTGTATATGTAATATGAGTAAACTATATATTTGTGATCACATGAATTTAGATCTTAGGTCTGATACTAAAGTTTCCGCTCAAGTCTAGGCAAAAATACCTTATTACGTATTTTCAGTTGATAATAAAGACCTTTGTCATCTAAAAGACTAATAAGAGTATTTCTTCTAGCAAGTTTCAATTATTACAATTTCGCGATCACAAGTGGAGTATTCAGAAAGTATAAAAACTCTCTTCTTTTGCTTATAATAATATTTTTTCTATAAATCGCATCTCAAAAAATACTAATGGAATCAGAAAGATCTAATAACATCCTTCCATTGGCCATTGAAGAAGAAATATTTGATGAGGATATACCTAATAGAAGTATCCCTTATCATACTATTCAACTCATCGCATCTATTAATTCTCAAAGAAAATCTGTTCAAAGAGGATCTGAAACATGTTCTTTCTATAATAAACCCGATCTATTATTCAAACTTAATGGAGCTAACCTGAAATCAGTCATAAAATTGTCCTACATTCATAGCTTCTATCTTAGATGTATTATTATTTCCTTAAAAAAATATATAACATATCCTTGTTGTCAACGACCTATTTATCTTGGTAAGAATGATGATACAAGGTTAAATCCTTAAGAAGAAGAAGATAGGGTTAAAAAATTTTTTAAAGAGTTATCCAAGAGACCACAAGACTTTAATCTATTGCCAGTGATAAATGTGAAAACGGAGAACCCCACAACTCCAGATATGGTATTCGTCAAATTACACAATAAAATACTTGATGCTGAAAGATTCTTAAAGAAAAAATACGTGAAGTATCCTGCATAGAATATGAAATCCTTGACTTACACTATCCTCTTGGGGAAGCATTGGAGAAGAAATTGGCTGAATTTACATCCATTCACCCTCTTCAAACCGCGCGAATCTTGCTTAATGCAGAAATTAAATGACAATTTTCCTTTGACATATCTTGTAATATTTTTAACAAGAAAAACGCTCAGCTAAAAATATTTACAACATATTTAAAACGGAAGGTTTAGGAAAAGTTAAGATCAAGCGAATTAGGAGAATCTCACCATCATCTTTTAGAAAATTTACTGATAAAGAAATAAAGATCATTCAAGAAAGGGTTAGAGTGAATTCTTCTTGACAAAATTGGCTTAAAGATCAATTTGATGATTTAGATCTAAATGAAGAGGAATACCAATGCAGATTGATTGAATAACATTATTGGCTGATGCTGTGCATATTCACATATATATAGATTCTAAAAAAATGATCACGTCTCTAATTTATTTTTTAATGTAGGCATTAGCTCAAACATATTTACATAGATTCAGCAATATATAATCTGTTTTATTTATATATGTAATAGAAAGTATTGGCCAAACATATTTAATAAATGATCTTATTTATTTTATTTTTATTTTTTCAAAGATCGAAATTTTTGAATATAATTTTTATCATGTGATCACAACTCAAATCGAAAGAATTTTACAGGTTCCTAACCTAATAGGAGCAGTATCATAACAAGTATATATGTAAAGGGTCACTTGACACTTAGCCTCGAGGGAATAATATCATATAACACTCGTAATGATATATATATAGAGAATCACTTGACACTGATCCCAAAGAGAGTAATATCATATGATACTTACAATCGCGTAAAGGATCACTTGACACTAAACCCAGAGGGAGTGGTATCATATGACACTCAAAACAGTATGATTACTGCAGAGAAATGTAATAATAACGTATTATTGGATACTACGCATAACATATATCACTGAATAATTTTTTTATTGTTAGATGTGACGAAGAAGATAGTGATGATTATCAGGACAATTATTGGGACCCTAGAAAAACATATACCAGATGGGATTATAGAAGACATTTTACGGTGAAGATGCTTTGAAAAACTTTATTAAGTTTGGGAAGCTTGACTTCAGAACATTATATTCATGAAATTTACTAGACGTCTTTCAGATATATCTGATTGAGAAAAAAATAGTCATTATAGGAATTAAAATGATTATCAGGAGTAATAGCGTAAATTTTCTGATTATAGGTCGATAAACTGTTAAAAAATTATAATAGTAATATATCTATTTTCGTTTCATTCT